TCTTCCCTTGTCTTCTCCTTCGCCGCTATGCAAAGCAGGACCCCGTTTCACTCTCCTTTGGCACTAATAAGCTCCCTTGACCCTCTTCTTCCACAGTGCTTGTACCAGTTCCTGGCGTTCGTCCCACCGAGCAACGGGAGCCTGAGAAAACCGGGCACGGCGGCAGTAATGGTCGACACCCAGCATCCACTCACCCTTTTGCTAAATGGCTCTGTGGGTGACAGAGAGCTCTGCAAGTACGTGGCCTGGCCCCTGAGAACACCTGGATAGCTCTATCCTATATTTTGGGTTTTTTTTTTCTTGAAGCCATGCACCTATTTATTGCCGGCTCATCACCTCCTTTTTCCTGACTGTTTAGACCTAGAGTTCAGTCTTCCCCCCGCTGCTGTAACTGTGGCGTACGTTGTAATTGCGCTGAAAGGATCTAGGCGCAAGCGGGAGCCAAAATGGGATGCGTTGAGCCAGCGCGTGCAAACACCTGGTTTCTCTTGCGGAGAGGCAGTAGTTCAAAAAGATGGGTGATACAGTAGGCAGTGCATGTATGGTAAAGCATCTGTGTTGGGCTAGGGGAGGGTAATGCTTGGCAAAGGTAGAGCCAGGCAGCTCCTTGCTAGATGATGCTGTTAGGCCAAGTTTTCAGCTTGTCTTTCCTACAAGCATTCAGGCTTACAGCCCCCCGGATGCTGCTGTGGTACTTGAATGTAGTGGTGATGGCTCAGCAAGTTTCGTTTCCTTTATCCTTTGCAGGATTCAGTATCATTTTGGAGAGTTTGGCAATTATTCCCTTGTGGTAAAGACCCTAAGTACAAGCACCAAAACTGTTTCTTGTGACCTAGTCATCAATGAAGGCCCTATCAACAGCTACCTCCGTATGTAATGCTCTCATTTCCCCTTTCATTCTACAACTTGCATGTCTCCCAGCAGAACCAACTTCCTAAAAAGCCTGTGTAGCCACTCAGGCTGTCCTGAAGATGTGTCATGGGCTTGATCCTCTTCCCTCTCAGCATCTTACCTCCTTATGTTTTATACACCCATCTTGAGGCCCTGACCAGGATCAGGTCTCTTCACATGATACACTGTATTGACCACAACTTTTTTGCAGCAGGGATTAGCCCAGTGGTATGTGTCTGGAGGGAGATATTTTCGTAGTTAGTTCCTGTTTCCCTGCATGTTTATGTATGTACACAGAATCCTCCTTCTTCTTCCCTCTGTCTTGCTTCTCTCACAAAATAGGAAACAAGTCATACAGTGTTTGGATTTTTGTTTGTTGTTGTGCTTTTAATTTTAAAGCTCACATCTTGCGTTTTTGTTCATTTTTTTTCCAGGGCTGTTTCAAACTCTCGTCTACATCTTTTCCATTCTTTTCCTTTACATTAGGTTATTCTCCAGTCCTTCCAGTTTTCCAGCTGTAAAGAAAAATTCTCCATGCTTGCAAACTTGGTGTATTACCATCTCCCCATCTTCTTCATGTTGAGGCTGTTTCAAAATCTCTAGTTTCTTCTTTAGAACATATAGCACATCGATTCTTTTCTAATCATTGCCTTATGATGCAGTGCAGTTTTATTTTGCCTTTTTTATGCCAAGATGTGGAGTCACTAGGCTGCACTTTGAAACTAGTGTGCTTTTGTTTTGGGTTGTTTGGGGGTTTTGTTGTGTGATTTTTTTTTTTCTCTGGGACTCAGGCTGGGGATGTGTATTGCATGGAGAAGGTGGTGTGATGATTGGTGGGTTGGGGTTTTTGTCACATTTGTGTCACACTTGGCCAAGCCCAGGCTGCTGAATGGTTTTGTTAGATCATTTACAGAGCTGTATTCTTCTCTCTTTCGTGTAGCTATTCTCTTTGCTTTCCTGGTTTACATGGGGATCCTTGCTATCCTGATTGTTGGGCGCCTTTTTATGAAGTAAGTGAACACTATTGTAATACCCCCTCGCACATGAAGTGGGGCTGCCAGTTTAAATACATGTGTAATAGCGTGGTGGTGCTTCAGAGTCCCACTGTAGCCCTGCTTGCAGATCAGATCCTGTTATCAGGTTGCCATGTACAAGTTAAGCTGTGGTAGCTGTCCATATCATAATAAATACAGTGTGATACGATTTCCCTTAAGGGACATTAGCTTGTGTGTAGAGTAGCTACTGCAGAGCAGCTGACATCTGCTGTGAGCTCGCACACACCCTGCCTCAACCTCCCATGACTTGTTCCTGGGTCTAGCCCTGAAGCAGCAATACAAATCAGTGGGACCTAAGCACATGTAGCATAGGCAGCCTTCCATCCTGTGTACTGAATGATACGAGTCATCCCTGCCTCTAAACAACCCGAGAATAAAGCCCCCGAACCTGAGCTTGTGGCAGTGTTACTACATAGTTGGACTTAACTGAGGCCCCAGGTACTGGCTGACTCTCAGTATTAGGTATGTGAGCTGGGAAATAGGGACTGTCCCAACTTCTGATTTATGCTGCTAAATAGTTGATATTAACATGAAATTGGCTATAAAGTACTTCTTGTTTTGTTTTGTGTTTTAAACTGTTACTAATTTTCAGAATTGATCCAGTCAGAAACTGGGTTTACAAGAAACTGAACCCCAGAGAAACTGATCGTCTGATTAATTCTGTGAGTGACCACAGTATCTTTTATTTACATTCTGTAGTGTTTTCATCTCTGAGGAACACACACTATCCGGACATCTGGGGACTTGCTTATTACTAATCATCTCCCCCTTGTGCATGTTCCCCTTGGCAAATCTTGTATTGATGTCAGACAGGCAATTTTATGTCAATGGAGAGCGCTGGACTGGGTTTCCATGCAAGTGTAGTGGATTCCCAGTAGAGCACTTGCAAGTCTTGAACATACAGCTTTGTGCCCTCTTTAGTTCCCTTGAAGCAAACGTGTTGGTGAAAATACTGTCCCCTTCTGACATAGACAATATAAGGGAAGGGAAGAAATGCCAGCTTTCATGTCTGCTTCCAGCACAGTAGGAATTTTAGCAGGATCTACGCTTAAGTCAAGATTTCTCTGGCAGCCCTAAAGCTGGCATTTCTTTGTGAGCCATGTTTTGTACTAGAATATAGATAGATCATCACAGTCTGGGCTTTACATGTAGGAGATCCAAACCTGTCTAGAATCCAAAAACTTAGGAGCAGAGCTCTGCAGCAATTCTTGTAGTTGTTCATCTCCATAGCTGTGTTACAGCGATGTCTGCTTCTTTATGCTGTCACTGGGGCTGATCAAAGTGATTTAGGGAACTTGATTGGAAAGAAGCCACTTCTGCATTTGAAAGGATTCATTTTCTGCTGGTTTAGCTCTCTAAACAGTGTCTCTGTGGTGTCAGACAAGTACCGATGAGATGAGATGAGATGGGTTGGATCCTGTTTGAGAGTCAGCAACTGGATCTGCTCAGCTCTGTTGTAAAGCAGCACTCACAGTGATGGCAAGTCTGTGGCTGATTTGGACTGGACCCAACTCTCATGAGTCTCAAACACAGGCTCTTTTCACTGCATTGTTGTTTCCACCCTGGTCAAAGGTGGAGTTTGAAGCATCTGCAAATATTATTGCAATATGGTGGAGCCATGAAGGGGTTAGAAGTAGCAAGTGGGGAAACAAAAGGAAGAGGAAGATGGGGAGAACAAAGACAAACACAGTATGTGAAAGTTTGCAGTTTGCTGACCTCTGTTCCCTAGGCAGTTGATGCAGCTGCTGACTTGCCCTTCATGTGTCTGGTTTGTTCCTGAAGGAGCTTGGGTCCCCGAACACAACAGACTCCGTTAGCAGTGATCCCACTGTGCGTTTGTGGAGCACAGTCTCTCGGCAGCGGCTGCGTTCCCTGGACACGTTCCGAGGGTGAGCATAAGACCTTGCTCAAAAGCAACTCTTCCAAGGGGAATGAGATTTTTCCAATGGCGGTTTGACAGTATATGGAAATATATAGCAGCTGGACAGTTCAAGGGGGTCTGTTTTACTTGGAAGATAATCAAGGTTTTAATTCTTGGATTTTCCGGAACACTTTGCAGTTGATCTAGTTTGAGGAAACATTAAAGTTGTGGCAGAGGGTGGAAAAGAACAACATAATGTTCAGTGCGAAAACACTACGTGAAGGAGCTTACTTTGGTTCACCGCCACCCATGATCTTTGAAACGCTGCTTCCTGGTTGGCAAAGCTGGAAACCTTGCACATACTCTTGCTTTAAAAATAAAATAAACTAGATCTCACAGTTAGAAATGTTTTAATGGGGGTAAACATTAACTGTGTGTTCATATATGTGTATTTCATCGGCATGTGATACTTTGTGTGTGTTTTTGCTGTTGTCTTTTTAGGCTCTCTCTTATAATTATGGTGTTTGTTAACTACGGAGGAGGAAAATACTGGTTCTTCAAACATGAGAGTTGGAATGGTAAAATACAATTGCAACAGTTAATCTGGGTTTTAACTGCAGCAGTATCTAGATGTGGTTAGCATTGCAGCTGCTGCAGCGAGCTGTTGCTCAGCTAAGGCTGAGACGCTGTGCCAGTTCACCTCAGCAACCCTGGCCTCTTGGGTTAATGAGCAGAGCAGGGTATAGTCCTGCTTGTCACACAGTGATGGGATGGTTTCAGATCACAATCTGTGTGTAACCTTTTCATTTCTGACACAGGTTTGTATCTTTAAACTTTTCTGTGTTGTTTAATGACCACAGTCAAGCCAATGGTGCTCAATGCTGTACAAACGTAATGCCTTGATTGGCAAGCTGATGGGGAAGGGGTCGGGCGTCGTGCTGCCCTAGTGGGGAATAGCAAGGATCCCATCCCTGAAATCTTTCCCAGGACACACCAATCGGTTCTGACCCTATTTTTGAAGAATGATAAAAGCAGTGAAGCAAGATGATTAGTTCTTTGTAAGTTTTGTTTATAATGTGGTTTAGATTTTGGGGCATCAAATAATTGCAAGCAGCCTGCAATTCCTCTGGAAACTCAACAATAGTGTTGTTAAAATTTAGGGAGGGTTCAAGGTAAATAATGTGTTCTTTCATATTTCTCTGTAGGATTAACAGTGGCAGATCTGGTGTTTCCATGGTAAGTCTTCCTGAAGAATAGTTCTTGTGTCAAGTGATTCTTTATGTTAAGGGTTGCAAGGAGAGCATTGTGTACACCTTGCCTCCATGTGGAAATGTATTTGGAGGGGTGAATTTGTGTTAAATGGCTGATAGGAATCTGCCCCTCCAGATAATAGCATCATCCTTATGAACTAGGAGAAGAGCTAAGTGCTTTTGGCCGCCCCACATCCTCCTTCCACCCCCCACACAACATCAGTGGGAAGCCCAGGGTTATCCTGCCAGTGGAAGTGCAGTATCCCTGAGAGCTCATTGCTACGTTACTGTGTTGAAGGTGGTCAATCTGGCAAGATTCAAAGCTGGACTGCTGTGTATCCAGAGATAAAATACCCAAGGGAATTTTGGATTAAGCTAATCTCTCTATAACCAGAGAATGGTTTTATGGGGAAGCAATTATCCCATCTGCCCCTAGCATGCTTCTCTAAAATACACACCGATTGTGATTACTCTCGGAGATGGGAGCTGGACTTGGACTGTGAACCTAATCTAGAGGGAAGGAGTGGGCCAGTTCTGAATTTGAATCATAGATTTGCAGCTTGTGTTTTATTGCTCTGAAGATGTTCATTTAATTTTGAGTAATGGAAATTTTTGGTGGCAAATGATCTTAGAGGTCCTTTCCAACCTTAATGATTCTATTCTAGTTTTACTTTCATTAAAAATAATCCAGCCACCAAGCCAGGAAACATGAAATTAATTATTACTCTATCCTTAATTGTTTTAGTGGTGGACTTGGTAGTGTTAGGTCAATGGTTGGACTTGATGGTCTTTTCCATCAAGGTCTTTTCCAACCTAAACGATTCTATGATTCTATGATTCTGTATGTATTGCTGCAAGAAGACCACAATGCATTTACTTCCCTGAACTTTACTGCCTCAACTTACCACTGAAAGAGGTGGAAAGGTCCCATAGTGCAAGCTCAGTTGTCTGGGAATTCTTAGCAATCCACGGAAATAAAGTTGTCCAAATTCACTCAATGCATGCATTTCTGTTGGGCCAATGCAGGCTACTCTGTTAGCTTTAGCGTTTACTGTCACGCACATGAGAAATGGAGCTGACATATCTCATCACATGCCTGCTCTGTTCTCCAGGTTTGTGTTCATCATGGGGACATCGATATCGCTGTCACTGAGCAACATGCTGAGGTGGGGAAGTTCCAAGTGGAAGGTGCTCGGGAAAATCCTTTGGAGAAGTTTTCTGCTAATCCTGCTGGGAATCATAGTTGTGAATCCCAATTACTGCCTTGGACCACGTGAGTGGAACTTGCTGTCTTCCTTGTATTTCTGCAACTGTTGTTCCTGCCTCCTTGGCTGGGCTGTTGAGAAAACAGTGTCAGCCTTACTGTACTGCTGTACTGACCAGTTGCATGGGGGCAGTTTGATGGTATCCTGTAGAGTGCTGTTCAGTTCTGCACTGATGCAATTCTCTCTGTTTGACCCCCCTGCCAACTGCTGTTTTCATCTCAGTGGTAACTTTCCCAGGGTGATGATTTACAGAAAGTGAGGTGGCAGAGTGGAGGTGTCCCTTGTACCTGCAGGTGCAGTGGGTCTCAGCTCTCCCTGGAGAAGGGTAGCTTTCATATTTACAAAAGAGCCCATGTCTGCTCCTCTTCCACATTGCTTCATGTTTTTTCAGTGTCCTGGGATAATCTGCGTATTCCTGGGGTGCTCCAGAGGCTGGGATTCACATACCTGGTGGTTGCTGCTCTAGAACTCCTGTTTACAAGAGCTGGGGCTGAGAGTGGGACCTTGGTGAGTGGGGAGATGGCAAGTGGTGCTGGAGCAGGGTTTGGGAGGTTTTGCTCTTGTTGGGCACAAAGAACACATGAGAAATGATGAGAAAACATGTAGCATCTTATCTGATGTGTAGTGCAGTGTGACCTGGCAGAAATTCTGGGGACATGCACCCTTCAGAGTCCCGGTCTGCATTTTATCACATGTATAAAATGTTTGCTGTATTTGAGGATTTCACTGCTCCATTCAGATGGGGCTTAGAAGCAGGCATTCCCAGGCACTTTTGATGACTTTCCACTGCCAAGGGACCCCAGGGACAGGCATCTCTGTGCTGAGTCCTGTGGCCTGTGTTTTGTCCAGTTAATTTTGGCAGTGTTTTTTCACAGCAGGGGAAAGTAATACTGCTTTTTGGCCTTTCTGGAGTCTGTTTTCCCAAAAGGCTTTTGTTCTACTCATGAATCAAAATTCCTTTTGACATTTTCCAAGCTAAAAAACATTGTGGGCTTTTGTTTTGGTTTGTTTCTCCCCCTCCCCCAAGTAACTAAGTATCTGGAAATTGTTTGTGAAGATGAAAGGTCTGTTGGTAGAACCCCGGTTTGTAATGACAACAGCTCCCTCTTACATCTGGGGGACTGCCTGCCAGAAAGTACAGGATGTCCCCAAGGGCATGGTTTTTACTTGCCAGCTAATACCCGCCCCCTCCATCTCATGCAGGAGACACTATGTCCTGCTCTGCAGGATATTCTCCCCTACTGGCCACAGTGGATTTTCATTCTGATGTTAGAAGTGATTTGGCTCTGCCTGACCTTTTTGTTACCAGTGCCAGGTTGTCCCAGGTAAGACGGTGTACTCAGACTACTTTCTATGGGGCATCAGATTGTTTTTCTTCTACTGAGTAGAAAATACATTTTATTAGCCATAGGGCAAGACTGAAGACGCACTAGTTAGAAAATACATTTTATGAGCCAGAGGGAAAGAATGAAGAAGAGAGCTTTTAGGCCAGCGGGGTTAAGGGAAGCATTCATCATGTGAAAAAACTTTCTTTACTTTGTTACTGAAGTACCAGGTGTGATAAAGGTGACAACATTGTTCCTTTCTATCTAAAGAAGAGGATTAGAATCTCCTAGAGGGCTGTGTACAGCGATATATGATCATCGCAATGTCATCCCTGTCTCTCTCTTTGCCCCTTTAGGGGGTCAGCACCTGCAGAGCAAGTGGAGCAGCCGGCTGGGTAGCCAGGGCTGAACTGAAGCATTGCTTTAGGCTCCTGATACTGCCTGTCCCCTCATGACCCAGCTGCTCATGGCATTGCGATGATCAGAACAGGGTGGCCACCGGCCAGCTGTCATGTAGGACCTGTGTTTCACTGTGTGCTTCTGGCCAGGGAAAACATGGAGCATTTAGTGTGCTGGGCCAGTGGGCCAGCTACCATTCGGGTGGAGTGTACCAACACTGTGTGCCGTAACCTGTTTGCTTCTGTCCTAAGGGGCTATCTTGGTCCTGGGGGCATTGGAGACTTTGGAAGTTATCCCAACTGCACTGGAGGAGCGGCTGGTTACATTGATCGTTTACTTCTTGGAGAAAAGCATATATATCAGCATCCCTCTTCAAGTGTAAGTGGCTTTTGGTTCGCAGTGTGAAGCCACAGGCGAGCACTGAACATCGCTGTCAGGAGGGGCTTGGGAATGATACATGCAGGGGGATGGAAGAGAAAGGAGATTGGTTGCTCAGGTGCCCTCTAAACACCTGTTTTCTCTCTAAGGTGATTTACCAAACAACGATGCCATATGATCCTGAAGGGATCCTGGGAACCATAAATACCATTTTTATGGCATTTCTGGGACTGCAGGTACTGCTTTTCTTTCTGGCTGTGTGCTATAATGGGAAGATCTGAAGCCATCTTGGAAGTGGGGAGGCAACTTGGTTTTTTTATTTAAGGCTGAGACTGGTTCTAACAAAACCTTTTGCAGAGCAATGCTTTCAGGCTGACTTAGCCTGAGGTGAGTGTCAGAGAAGTGGAATCTGACCTGGCAGTAGTTTGCATTAGATAAACCAAGACTTTGTCTCAGTTTTTGTAAGGGATGGACACAAGAAGTTTGCAAAATATCCACCCAGAAACTTACTTTGCTTGTTTTAAGGTTGGGCTTATGCTGGGAGTAGGCTGGCTCTGCATGTTGGAAAATAGGGCCAAGAGGTGCATAGACTTCACAGTTTCATTTTAAACATATGGTTTTAAAGGTCACGGCTCTAAATGTTCCCTGTTGCTAATTTTCCACTTGACATGCAGTGTTAGCTGTCTTGCATAGGTGCTATGGGTATGCTCACTTTCCCAGACACGAGGGAGGTGAGGTTCACGTGTGTTACGAACATCGAAAGCTCACAGCTCACCACCGTGTTTAAAATGGGATATCATGATGCTTTTTGATGCAGCTCTAGTCAGTCATTGCTGCTTTTCTGTCTGTGCAGCAGCTGTTAACCAAACTGAAGCTCTTGTGCTGGGAAAGGAATGTTACCGCATGTAGCACTGCGTAAAAATTGACCGGGAATCTCAGCAGGGCAGAGCTTGGAACAGAAGTGTGACACTGAGGAATAAGTCATCAGGACACATTTCTTAGTGGTGCGTGAAAAGGAGCACATGCTCCGAGCAGGCCAGGGTGCGACGTGGCACTGTGGAGAAGCTGTTGGGGCTGGCTGGGGAGCTGACGTGGCGTTGTTCCTTTGTGCAGTCCTTGCTGAGGGAGATGGAGCTCGAGTCATGTTGTGTTAACCTAAGAAAGTTGCTTGTCCCCTTCCTCAGCGTTAACGTAGTAAGGAAGGAAGAAAAGGTTCACCTCTGTTGCTGAGTGGGTTGCATTTACCTATTTTCCCCATGTGTGTCCATTCTTTGCAAAGAGTTCCCATTCTGAGCCTTTCAGCCACTTGGTTGATATAAATCCTATTCGTGTCCTGTCTTAGCATAGGTAGCCGGTGGCAAATACATCTGGCTCTCGAAATGTAGTTACATTTATGGGCATTAATTCATTTTGTGCGTTCTTTTTATATTAGGCAGGAAAAATTATCTTGTTCTACAAAGACCAGCACAAACAAATTATGAGTCGGTTCTTCATATGGAGCATAGTAATGGTAAGTCAGATAGTTATATAGCTCTTTAATAGACATGTATTTTTATGCAACGCAAACTTAGTATTTCTGAAACATGTTGCAGTGGTTATATAAACTTTAGCAACCTTCTATTTCAGGGAATTATTTCTGCTATCCTGACAAAATGTTCTAAAGACGAAGGGTTTATTCCCATAAACAAGAACTTATGGTAAGCAAAGAGATACAACTTTTAGTACAATTTTGTTAAAGTACTGTTTCACCTTGGAGAATATTTTACCTTTCTTATACTGAGATCTGTCTGTATCACATCGTTCTCTAAATAATCTTTCTACTGAAAATGTGTGTAGGTCAATATCATATGTGACAACCATGAGCTGCTTTGCCTTCATCCTCTTATTGCTGATATATTACCTTGTGGATGTCAAGAGACTGTGGTCGGGGGCTCCATTTTTCTACCCAGGTCAGTAATATCATGGCAGGAAACGTATTCCTTCCAATTCTTTCTGCGCTGATACTATCCTTTTACGTTTTCTGCACTTCCCTTGTCTTTAAAAGAGTCGGGATTTAGAGTGAGGTAACCTGAAGGATGCCAGAATGATTAACTTGAGCTGAATCTTTGCGTAGAACTGGGACACTCGAGACCAGATATTTAGGAGAGAGGGACTGTCAGGTCGTTAAATGAGGGCTGGAAGCTGCCATTGCCAAATGAGCGTTCTTAGTTTGGTCTCGAGTTAAGGTCCCAGGGAACAGCTGCCTAGTACCAAGCAAAATACCACAGCTGGTTCGTAGTTGATTTTGGAAAGGACTGCTGAGACTTGGGTAATCTAATGGGAAACTCAAAGGCCGGTCAGCAGAGTCATACCACTTCTGAAGATGTGGAAGACAAAATCCCCTGGGCAGCTCTGTCTCTGTGTTTTTAGATAAGCCTGTCTCCCAAAGCATCCCACTGTGGTTTTAACCACACTGGGCTCTCAACAAACATCTGAGTACAGAATGTCAACCCACAGCAGAGGGAACCTTTCAGCAGCTTTGGTGTCTGGTGTCTGGACAGGAAGATGGGTAGGGTGCCAGCATGGTATCGCATGTCCTACCAGAAATCCCAGAGCTTTGAAGGGCAGTCAGCATTTGTTTGTAAAGGCAATAGATCTGACCAAATAGGTTGGCATTTGGCCTCCCTAAAGACAATAACTGTCATTATTCTCCTTTTCAATAAAATTGCAGGGCACTGGTTTGGTTGTATTTTCAATTTAGCATATAGGTTGTCTGTATGTCTCTTCAATTAACATTTTGGGGGAGAGAACCCCTCAGACTGTATTTGAAAAGACGTGTGCAGCATCTTTGGAGCAAGTAACATCAGCTGTTGTGATTAGCTGTTGTCTCGGTGCCACTCTATTTCATAGCCTGGCATGTCTCTCTCTGCTTACTCCGAAGCAAGCTCATACCTGCTCTTTCCGATGGTATGACCTGTGCTTACTTTCAGGAATGAACTCAATCCTGGTCTACATTGGACATGAAGTGTTTGAAAACTATTTCCCTTTTAAGTGGAAGATGCAAGACAGTCAATCTCACGCAGAGCATCTGACTCAAAACCTCACTGCGACAACTCTTTGGGTCATAATATCATATTTACTTTACAGGAGAAGGATATTCTGGAAAATCTGATAGAGGTGTCAAGGTGTAGCAGACCTAGATTCCGATGGGGCAAGTGCATAAGGTGGATTAGCCTGAAATATTGCCACTTGGGCTAGGCTATATTACTTAAAAGGGATACTAGTTCAAGTTTACAGTGCCATGGAAGTTGTCATCAAGACTTTTATGTGACTTAAGGGACAGCATTTTCTTGTTTAGCAAAAAACTTACTAGTTTGCTGCAGTTGCTCTCTTTCTGTTTTCTGTATTTTGTAAATATTTTACTGATCTCCGCCTTGGTATAGAGAAACTGAACATACTGCAACAGTTGGGCAGTCAAAGACAGCCTGACGGTGCTTACGAAAGGAACTGCAAGGGATCTGGGTGGTGACTGCAAGGGGTTATCAGAATGGGACCATGGTAACAGTCATTGCATCTGACGAGACACCCCCTAACTCAGGTGGTCTGGGGTTTGTATATACCCTTGGCACCTGCCGCATGCCTGTGCCACTCTGGCTACTGGCACACATTTAACTCGGCCATCTTTTTGACTTGGGAGCACTGGCAGCATCCTCAGCCCTGCACTTGGGTCGGCGGTGCAGTGACTGCCTCGGAAAGCTCAGGGGCACTTGTGTGCTACAGCATGCTGTGCAAAATGGTGACTCAACTGATCATTCTTCATTGTGTTCTTCCAGTATGGTCTTGGATCAAAACCTTAGGTTTAGGATCGTGCTCAAGCCTGCTGCCAAAGATCTCTTCTATTGGCTTACTAATCAGCATGCTGCTGCTACAGGTTTAGCAGCCCTTCTGTGCATGTTCTGGGCCTTTGTGTTACATACCTCTAGCATGGATGAGGTCCGAGTTTCATGTGCTACACTCTAAGAGTGCAGAAACGCCAGTTCCTATTGACTTTGTATAATCACTTGGATATTACCAAAGTTCGAGTAAAGCAATCCTCTTTATAAATGGATTTATGTAAGGGCCCTGAATCTGAAAACCAGCAATACAGGTAGAATTTAGCCAAAAAGGAAGAGATAGCAGACCAATTCAATGTAAGACAATAGTTTTTGGAAACTCAGGAAATTCACTCATGCTGTGATTCCCAAACTAGTGCTAATAAAAAGCCTGAAATACCCTGCTATGTTCACTGTGTATGTATAAAGATGGAAAGAACTAAAATGCACACCTTAGTATAATGCTATGGAAAAAAAACCAAAACAAATAGGACATTACAGAAGACTTCTTAAACAAAGTTTTATTTATAAAGTTTGATCTACCCACATAAGAAAACTAAGCGGTGAACAAACACTGAGTAGTGTTTGTGTATTGCAGAACCTGTAACTCATAGGGAACTTCTTTGACTCTCTGGACAAGTGATTTTCCACTGCCATGCTGATGTTCATACAATTAAGAGCCTTCCCCTCTCTCTGTAAGACACATTGCAGTATTGCAACAGACTGGTCCAGTCCATTCAAGCAAGAGTCTGAAGCAGCAGTATTTTCTCATTAATGCAGAACCTATGCAAGACCACCATGAGATTTTCCCCACAGCGCGAGACCTGGCGCTCCATGGCCAGGCGGAAATCTTCTTTCACTCCTTTAGTTATACCCCGGGTAACTGTATGATGCCTTAAGCCATGAAGGAAAGAGAGACAGACAAAATCAAATAACGGTTATTTGGTGCACTACAGTAATTTAAAAGGTGCTGCATGTCACTTACTATATATTTACTGTCCATACATGAGTTTATATAGGGAGAGCCAAATAGCCCATGCTATGCTATTTTTTAAAAATCATGTGTTCAGTAGCTTACAAGTCTTTCAACAGTTAGAAGTTCCATAAAAGTCTATGCTCTCACTGCTTTGATTATGACTGTTGGGCGGAAAAAATGCTGCTGTTCCAGCTAACAAGAAAATCTATTCTCTTATGTAGCAGCATGTACAGAGATCTCCTCGCTTGGGGAAAGGAATTTTTTTTTTTCTACCTTTGCTGCCCAGGCCACTTCCTCCTTGTAATCACTTCTATAAATGGTTGGAGTTGAAAGAGTGAAAAGATGAACCTGCTTTCTCTGGAGGAAGGGGACAGATGGCTGCCACCATAAAGAGCAGAGGGCATCTTGTACCCGTAGGAAAGTGCAGGAAGGAGCTATATAATCCTGTGGGCGCTGATAACTCTTTGACTAATGAAAGGTGCAGTGAACACTTCACAGGCCAACACAAAGCCCCAGTCAAGCCAGGCTGTGAGCCTGTGTCAGTAGAAGCCAGCTCTTGTGGAGATACTAGACACCAGGCAGGGATTACATTTATTCTGAGCAGAAGTTCAGGACTTATTTTCAAACAGAACAAAGGTCCAGCTACTAAGCAAGCTAAAGCGATGCTGGCTGGGGAAACTCTTGGGATATTGCCCTGTTAAAGGCCATTGTTATGATCAGTTCTTTGTCCTCATGCTGGCCTGTAGCACTTGATATCTAAATCTTGTCCTTAAAACAACGTTCTGCAGCGCCAAAGCACTACACTTCACTTGCACTGGTCCAGAACTGGTTAAGTAAGATCAAGACTTTGTAATATCTATCTGCAAGCCGTACTTGGGAAGGGAAGCAAAAGATATGCCCTGAAATGAGTGCCCTAGCGCTATTAAAGGAGCAGCATAAATTAAATTAGAGCAAAAAGCGTAATGCTAATGTTGAGAGAAGTCCCGAGTCATGGGTAAGAAGGGAAGACCTGGACCCAACCCAGCAAGCACACTGAAAAACAAAGGAAATGAAAAATAAAGGGTGAAGGCATCTATGCCAATCCAGAGATGCTGAAAACAAGAGAGGGAAAAGTCTGGGAATTGCCCTCACCAACAATACCACCCCACCTTCACTTAAATCAGCAAGTCCAGCATTTGAGAAGAGACTTCTCTGCCAAAACAGCAGACCTCTGTAACACATGTAAAAGGCAAAGAGACTAGCTGGAGACTACTGGGCAATTCACTGAGCTAGGCCGAGTGAAGCAAAACTGCACTGAAAATACTCCAGCATATTCCGAGGTTATGGGATAAGCCCTGTTTTCCATCTTTACTGTCTTAAACATTGCTGGCAGCTGAGTGCTATGGTCAGTTACAACCTAAATGAGAATGTGCAACATACAGCTACTGAGCAAGCCAGCAGTGCTTTTGAAGATGTGTGTCATGTAACAGCTGGAAAACAGAAAACAGAATTTAGAACAACTTAAATGAAGAAAAGTAGCTACAAATGGATCCAGTAACCAGTATCTTGAAAAGAAAGGGTTATACTTTTGCTAATACGTGACTGAACACTGGTATAATTTGGGGGATTTTCTACATTTTTGTTCAAATTCAACAGTGATTATTAAATTGAAAGGACACAGATACTGGCAACTTATGGGAAAAAGAAAAAATAAATGTTATATAGAACAACATGGTTTGCCAGGCAATGTAGGCACAAATGGATTAAAAAAAAAAAAGATAAGTATTGAGTAACAAATTGCTGAAAACCATGGGCAGTAAAACATGTTGACAAAACACAGCACACTATGAGCAGGGTTTTTCCACTTGGTACCTGTCAGCAGTCTGTATGCTGGGCTGTAGCACAGGTATGAATTCCTGCTGCAGTAACCCCATGGGAGGGCTAGAAGTCCTTTAAAAAACAGCAAATAGCAGCATTCAAACACCCACACACCAACTCCCCCTCTGGTGCAAAACAACTCTCCAGAAAAAGGAGCAACAAAGAACTAGGGTGAGACCACATAGCAAATATGACCACCAAGCAGCTGAAGAGGCGCAGGACCCTAACAGCATCAAACATGCAAACATCCCCAGATTTCATTGCAAGGCTGTTCTGCAACTGTGGTCTAAATACATACACATATTTTTTGACAGTTACACCGGGAGAAAAGACAGCAGCAGGTGCAAAAACAATTCAGTTGTACTATGACGAACTGTCATAGCTCTTCCCAGGAAGCATGTCAATCAGAAAAGATTTAATGAGGGGAGCACTGCAGATACCACAGCTTCCCTGCAGAGCCGGCAAGAGCGCGTCAGCGAACCGGGAGAGCCCACAACTTGGAGTTAAGGGATTTGCTGCTGAGCCCAAGCTGAGTGCATGCACAGCGGGTATCAGCCAAGTTGAGTACATGACAGTGTTTGTTACAGGTTGCCTAAGTAGCTTTTCATTAGCCCACAGATGGCCTTTTTCACCTTTTCAAATTCAAACTGCGTACAAAAATGGCTGTTAGAGGACGGCACAATGTCAGAGCATGAATGCCCACTCAGATCAACCTCCCATTTATGACCAGGGCCACATGAACTAGCCACCAAAAGATGTCTCAGCTGAAAGAGTTTTATCTTCTCTGTGAAGTTAAGTCCTTATCTCTGTGTGCTATCTATAACACAAGATAATAACCTCACAGATCCAGCCTAGAGCAAATCCAATGCCCCACCTAAGGAGAAATGAGAAATTTGGTATATAGAGAACAGGTCTAATTTCTTAACCTAAGTCTCTCAAAATGTCACCTAAATCTTATTAGGCACCCAAGTACTGAGTGCACTGTTCACCCCCATAGATGCTAAGAAGCGAGCAGAGAAGCAAGACTCACGCTTCCATATAATATCAAGTTATGTGCCTTCTTTCAGATCTCACACACAGGTGGGCATTTTGGTTAGTATCTATAATTTATGAATGACTATGGATGGAGAGCTATGCTTGTAAAAGTCAAATAAAGAAGGGACGTTTTAGTAGTACAGAACACTACAATACAGCTACAATAACCTGAAATAAAATATTTGCAAGAATTATTCAATCAAATGAGATAATTTTTCAAGAGTTCTTGGCATGAATGAGTCTAGTACTTGCACAAAAGGACACAAGGAACAGAAAATACAAAGGAAGAGCAAGATGTTATTGGTCCCAGAGTGGCAGATGTTTGCAAAAGGGATTCTGCACAACTGCATCTTCACTACTGTCTGCAAGATCTGCAGTGAGAACTAAACATACCCAAGTGCACAATCAGAATAAAAATTACACTTTCAAGATACTTTGTTTCACTTCAAAATAACTGAGCTTTTCCTCCTCTGTCCCCAAGGAGAGATGTGATGGGAATGTGAGTAGAGGCAGAACACTCAACAGCTTTCACATCAAGTTTACGCAGTTTGGTAGGCTAAGATTAGACTAATTAGAGTAAGATTTATCAAAAAGAGGAGCACGATATTAATCAGTCATTTCTTGCATATTGTTTTTTTCCTCTTTAACCTCACTAGCTCACACTGCCGCAT